CCTTCGCCCCCCGGGCAGAGAACAAGCTGGAGAAGAGCGAGGAGGCGGCACTCCTGTCCTGGGAGACCTACCTGAAGGAGATCTACCTGCAGAGCCTGCAGAGCCGGCAGCGGCAGAGGCTGGAGCACAGGGTCCAGCACGTCAGCGACAGGTGCCGGGGGCCGGGCGGCCCCCTCTGGCGGGTACTATGCCCCCGGCGGGTCCAAGGCACTGTGCGGACATGGCCCACCCAGGGGCGGCCCAGCAACTGGTCCTCTCAGGCCGGAGAGCCCCGCCGTTCCACGGCATGGGGCCGTGCCCTCCATCCGGCCCATGGCCTTCCCTCTGAGTCCTGGGAAGGCCGCCTGTGCTGGCCCCGAGAGGCGCCGTGGGGCGGGGTGGACGGCGCGCTGGAGGACGGGCAGCTGGGCCCGCAGGAGGCCAACTGGGAGCCGGGCGGGTGGACAGTGAGCGTTAGGGCTATGGCCTCGCCGCGGCTCCCTCCCTCCCGCCCTGCCTCCTTTCAGGGACAAGGTTGGGGGGTACCCCTCTGCACCCCAGCCCTCAGCCTGACGGGCACCAGAGGGGCCTGGCTGCCTCGGGCACAAATGCGGGGTGCTTTGGTCTTGGTCGCAGGGTGGGCCGGGAGAAGGGAGGTGACACGGTGCCATGCAGTCACAGCAGCTCCCGCCCCTGGCACGGGGGTGTCCGCAGGCCGTGGGGCCGGAAGCAGCCATGAGCGCAGGCTCCCTCCCTCCTCGGAGACTGGCACCTGCCACCTGCCGGGGCCTCCGCTGGCTAAGGGGTCCCCCCGTGGGCACCAGGCGGGGTTCTCTCTGCACGGAAGCGTGGATCATGAGCACGTGCAAATTCAGAGGAAGATGGCAGGGCCCACGCCCCTGGCCGTCCAGGCGCGCAGCTGGCCGGCGGGCTCAGCTGTGCGCGCTTGCAGGGTGGACTGCATGGCGGACGTGCTGCAGATGGACCGCCTGAAGCAGCCGGGCTCCGTGGAGCAGAGGCTGGCCTCCCTGGAGGTGCAGGTGGGTGGGGCCTGCGTCCCCAGGGCGTGGGGCTGCCGGGCCTGGCTGGTCACTCTGGTGTGGTGGCTCTGAGAACAAGCACGCCGGGAAAACAACTGAAGGACGGGGTGGGGTGCGGGGGACACACGGCCGTTCCCGGTGGAGGGACGCGCCTTCCTCACACCAAGAGTTTCCCGGCTGAGCACCCCCACACTGCGCCGCGAGGGGCCACATCATGGGTCCCCCGAGGGACAAACTCCGGTCCCCTCCGCTGGCCTCCACGCACCTGTCCGGCCACTGTCACGGGACTCTGCTGGAACCTGGGGAAGGGCCATGGGGGTCACCAAGGCCCCTGGCTGTCACCGGCGTTCCGGGCAGGGCCCTGGGGTTGGGTGGCTGCTTGGGGCAGGGGGCAGGCAGAGGGGCGGGCGTGCTGTGTCGAGGAGGTGCTGGCCCATCTGGGATGTGCCTTGCAGGTGGCTCAGATGGCCAGCGCACTGAGCTGGGTTGTGGAGGCCCTGAGGGGCAGTGGCCTTGGCTCGGAGGAGGGCGCCCCCACCCTAGGTGAGTGGGTGGCTGTGCGCCCTTGACTCTGGGGTCTGTGGGGAGTAGAGGTACGGTCTGGGCTCCTGCTGGGCCGGGAGGGAGGCCGCCCCCTGAGCGCCAAGGGCGGCCAGCCCCCTCCCCCTGTGACCCGACCCAGCTAAGGACTTCCAAGGGGAGGCCTGGCCCGGGCCCCCGTCTTCCTCCTGTGTGTCACGCTGCAAAGGGGGACAGACACAGGAGGTCCCTGGGACTGAGCCACATGGACCGGGTGACAGAGCCATGTCTGGGTTCCTGACTTTGCAGCCAGCCGGGCGCCAGCACGAGGAGCCCCCCGCCTTGGGGCTGCTGGCCGCACAGCAGCAGCGATGCCCCCACCACTGGACCAGCTTCCGGGGGGCCCCGCATCCCTCTAGCTCCCAAGCGCCCTGCCAGTAGCTGCACAGGGAGGCGGGTGTCGGCCGGGGGACGCTGCCCAAGCCCAGATCTGGCTGCGGTGCTGGGGGACCCCGTTGGACCTGGGCTGAGGGGTGGAGGGCCGCCGAGTTCTGGGCGGAGGACTAGAGAGGACACGCTGGCCTGTGGGCTGCCGCCTGAGCCCCGCCGGCTTTGCCATGGCCCACATGGCTGTCCCTAGCACCCCAGAAGGCCTCGGAGGGGCAGGACCCCACGCTGAGCGGCGGACGGCAGGCGGACGACTGGGGTGACAGCCACCACGTCAACGCCCGGCACCTGCTCTACCCCAACGCCCTCGTCACGCGCTTCCCCGTCCCCAACGAGAAGGTGCCCTGGGAGGTGAGTGCCTGTCCTGGCGTGTCCCCACCAGCCGGGGACGGCCAGCGCTCCGGGCGGGAGCCATCCTGCCCAAATCCTCTCGTGCAGCCGGGCACTGGGGCGGGGCAGCCCGCTGCGGCCTCACGGGGACGGGTGGGCCGATGAGGCAGCCGAGGCATGCAAGGCCACGCAGCCGGGGGGCGGGGGTCGCTGGGGCTGGAGCCCAGAGCGCCTGGTGGGTCCTTGATCCACGCGGACAGCCTCCGGCCGCCCCAGCTGCCATAGAGCCCGCCGTTCCCGGTGCGTGGCCACCGCCCTCCTGTGAGTGGGAGCGTGGGGGACGGGGGCAGGGAGAGGGAGACGTGGATGGATAACGGCAGCCGCCCCGGCCCCGCGGGCTCCGTCTCCTGCTTTGCCGGAATCTTCCAGGCCTTTGCTTCCGTGGCCCTCTGCCCGGTCCCCGTCAGCCAAATCTTTCTCACCTCTGAGCCCAGTCCAGCCCCTCGTCTGCCCTGGGGAGATTCCAGGACCACTGGTCCCGACACCAGCCCCCCGGCTGGGTCCCTGGGTCGGCCCCAGCTCAGAGCCGCCGACGAGGTGGCCTCGGGCGTCGGGGCGCCTGGGGCGACGTTCTGAGGGGGGGGCCACTGTTCTGTTCAGATAGAGTTTCTCATCTACGACCCGCCCTTCTACACGGCGGACAGGCAGGACAAGGCTTCGGTGGACCCCACAGGAGAGTGAGTGCGCCTCCCGGGCCTGCGGCCCTGCCTCGCGCCCAGGGCGGGGGTCGGGGGGGCGTCGGCCAGGCCTCCGGAGCCACCGCTGGGAGCCCAGTCAGGGCGAGGGTCTGCTCCCCGCCTGGACGGGGCGTCCATCCTGCCCGAGGGCCGGGACCCCTGGGAGGGCGGCACGGGGCTGGAGCGCCTGCGAGCCAGCGAGGATTCCTCCCGCCCTCTGCCGGGGCCCGTCCAGTCACCGCCACGCTCTGATCGGGCCCTGACCGCCCCCTCCGCCCAGCACCCCGGAGTCTCTGTCCGGGATCACCTACAACGCCGTGGACGGCCCCACCGACCGCCGCAGCTTCCACGGCAGCTACGCGGTCCAGGACGGGCTCCCCCTGTGAGTCGCCCTCTCCCCCCGGGCTCGGGGCTTTGCTTCTGGTGCCGGGGGACCTCTCCTGGCAAACGGGGCAGCAGGCCCTCGGCGCAGCCCTGCTATGTGCCAGCCCGGGGCTCCGGGCAGAGAAGGCCTGCTCTGCCAGCCCGGGGAGCGGACAGGGGTCGGCAGGGGCCATCAGGGTCAGAGGGACTGGGGACCCTCACGGTGCAGGCCGGAGTGAGGGGCCTGAGCGCGAAGGCAGTGGGGCCTCTCTGGAAAGTTCTGGAACAGAAAGGGGCTGTGTGAGGACGTGCCCGGGTGCAGAGGACGGGCTAGACCGTGGACTGGGGGGCGGCAGAGATGGTGGCTTTTCCTCCCGTTTTAGTGCTGAAGTCACCGGGCCCACCCCCGTGAGGACGTGCCGTTTTGGATAGGACGTGGTGGGGAGAAACGGAACAAGGAGCCGGCCCAGCCCGGCGGAATCCGGGGTGTCTGTGCTAGTGCCCGGGGCATGGGGAGCAGGGACCAGTCTGTGTGCCAGGCTCCGGCCCCCCCAGCAGGGTCCAGCTGACGACACTGCCTTGTCCGTGGCCACAGCCATCGGACGCCTCTGGGTGCCTGGCCCTGGCCCCTGCGGCCCCCTCGTCCCCTCGCACGTGCTGCGTGGCCCGATGTGTCAGTCACACGATCTCGGGGACATCACGCGCCTGCAGCGGGCCAGGCTTTTGCTCCCAAGGGCACCCCTTTCTTTTCCAACTGAGCCCACAGTAACGCGAAGCCCCCCGTGCCCCTCGGAGCCCCCGAGGACTGGCTCTCCCGGTGGTGGGCAGCAGGCTGAGCAGACTTGTCCCCCCCAGGAACCCTATGGGCCGCACGGGGCTGCGGGGGCGCGGGGCCCTTAGCTGCTTCGGACCCAACCACACGCTGCAGCCCGTGGTCACTCGGTGAGTGTGCCAGGGGCGGTCACCCGTGCACACCATGTGGGACTCACTTCTGGGCCCCTCCCCATGCGCCGAGAGCCCAGAGGACAGGTCACACTTGGTGCCAGCGCCACGGTGGGGCCTGGGCGGCCGTGTGCACCCCGAAACACAGCGAGGACCTCCGTGCCCAGGGGAGCCCAGCCCCCCACAGAGGCTGCCCCTGCTTCCCTGTGTGTCCCCCCGAACTCAGAGCCCGTGGGAGGAGGGACAGAGTGGCCAGGGCCCACCGCCAAGGACAAACTCAAAATACACAATCCCACAGCGACCCCAGGCTCACAGGTGCAGAGCGGCTGGGTCCCTAGAAAATATTCTCCCAAAGGCCAGTCGTTGTCCCACCAGCCGCCAGGAGTGGGGTCCCGTGGGGGTGCGGGCTGTCCCCACGGGGACGGGCCGGCCTGGAGGGGTGTGGGCTGTCCCCACGGGGACGGGCCGGCCTGGAGGGGGTGCGGGCTGTCCCTTCGCAGGTGGAAGAGGAACCAGGACGGAGCCATCTGCAGGAAGAGCATAAAGAAAATTCTGGAAGTGCTGGTGGTGAAGCGCCCCCGCTCGGAGAACTGGGCCTTGCCGGGGGTGAGCCCTCCAGCCGCGGTCGCGGGTCACATGTCCCGCATCTGGTCCACACGCTGGCTGAACACCCCCTGCGGCCACCGCCCAGGGCAGTGCTGGACTCTGTGGCTCGTCTCAGCAGCAGAGCCGGGGTCTTGACGGTGTCGCTGTGGGTCTTCGGCCCCTACGTGGACCCCGGGTCTCTCGGTGGTGCCGGCCCCTGCGGCCAAGACCCCCGTGCCCCCAGCCATGGGACCACAGCCCGGAGCACCGGGCGCCGAGGGGCGTCTGCTGAGCCTGCACAGGTCCCGGCCACGGTGGCTCGTGGGGGGCAGGGCGTCACGAGGGCCGAAGTGGAATGGACGTGCTACGGACTGGATGACAAACAGGGTCCCCTAGATGGGTGGGGGTGCGGGCACGGGTCGCGTGGCTTGGGGAGTGGCCGGGAGCCCGGCTGGGGTGCAGAGGTGAGAGGTGGGGTCTGAGGGTGCAAGCGGCAAAGGCAGGCCCTCCCGCTGGCGGCCGGGGTGCCGGGATCCCGGCCTGGCATGTGCTCCCCACGGCTGTGCTTCGGCCTCACACCCCTGCTGCGGAGCCGCTGACGTGGCCAGTGGGCTCTGGACAACGTCACTCGGGCCGAGACAGCGGGCCGCCAGACGCTCGTCCGCCTGCGGCTCCAGGGGTCTGGCCGGCGGTCCCTGCTGCGCCAGTGGCCAGGGAGGCGGGGCCCCCACTGGCCTCACCGACCCGCCTCCGCCCCCCGCTCTGCCCAGGGCTCCCGGGACCCAGGGGAGACGCTGCCCCGGAAGCTGAAGCAGGTCCTCCGGAGAGAGTTCTGGCCGGCCTTCGAGAGCCTGCTGGCGCGGGGCAAGGAGGTAGGGGGGCCCCTCCGCATCCCGAGCCCCTCGGAGCCGCGGGAAGGGCAGGGTGCGACGGGAGCCTGTCCCCGCCCTCGACCACGCCCTGCGGCCCCTGGAGGACGGGCAGGCCCAGGAGGGGGCTGTGCTCGCGGCCTGTTGCCTCCTCCGTCCTGTTGTCTCCTCTCTAAAGCGAGGGCTGTGGCCTGGGACTCTGCTGCCCTGGGCCAGGCCTGGTGTCCCCTCCAAGCTGCCCGCTGTCACGCCTGCCCAGAGCACAGCTGGGCCCTGTGCGGTGCCAGTCGAGGCTGAGGGCCGCGTCGGGAGCAGCTGCGTGGGCCAGGAGGCAGTCGGACAGGGGTTAGGGCGCCGTGGACAGCTGTGCTCCGAGTGTCCCAGGGCAGGACGCAGTGTGGGGACAAGGAGGCCCCTCCTTGTGGAGGGAGCCAGCAGGGCCCACGGCCTGCCCTGTGCTGCCCCCAGGTGTACACGGGCTATATGGACGACCCTCGGAACACGGATAACGCCTGGATCGAGACGGTGGCCGTCAGCGTCCACTTCCCAGACCAGAGCGACGCGGAGCTGAAGAAGCTGAACATAGTATGGGGCTCGGGTCGCAGGCTCTGGGGAGGGGGCCTTGGGGCCGTGGGAGGGGTCTCACGGGCTCCTGGGCCGGGCCAGAGCGGCCAGGACCGCAGAGCAGGGGCCGCAGGGGTGAGACTTATGTCCAGAGGGTACCAATGGGGCTCCAGGAGAGGCCAGAGGCCACCAGCAGGTGGCCGGAGCGGGGTCAGGGCTGGATGGGGACCTTGGGACAGGGTCCTCCTAGGCTTCCAGGCTCGCAGTGGGGAGGTTGGTTCATGTACAGGATACCGTCTCCTGCGTTTGGCTCAGTCCTAAATGTCCCTAATCCGGAGCTGAGACCAGGAGGCCCAGGGAACAGAGCTGGGCGTCCTTCGCAGGGCGGGACGCCCCGGAATGATGCCGGCCCTGTCCTCGTTCGAGGCTTGCGGGGCTTGGCGGGCACTTGCAGAATCGGGCCTGAGCGGGCATTCTTGCTCCCAGTGACAGAAGGACAAAGCCAGGCCAGCCCGCAGCCCGCAGCCTGGAGACCGGGGCCCGGCCAGGTCCCGGGAGTCTGGGTGGCGGCGGGCGGCTCAGAGGGTCAGACGTCCTGTGTCCTTGCAGCACCTGCTCGCCCACGACCCGGGGATGTCCATTCGATGGCAGGTGGTGGACAAGCGCATCCCGCTGTATGCCAGCCACAAGGCCGTCCTCCAGAAGGTGGCCACTCTGTTTGGAGCTTACTACTGACCCGTGGGCTCAGGCCGGGCCCTCCGCCAGGGCAGGCGCGGCTGGCCTGTCCCCAGTCCCTGGGAGACGTGGGCTGCCACGGACCTCGGGCAGGCCAGGGGCGGGGCACGGTGTGCTTGGGCATCTGCCACCCCACACGGCCAGCTGGATGTGCCGCCTGAGCGCATGACCCAGAGGGCAGCAAGGTGCTCTGGGAGGGGAGCCAGGGCAGAGGACAGGCTGGCTCCAGTCACGTGGCCATTCTTTGGGTGGAGGTGGCCACTGGGGCCCGCCAGCCATCACTGCCCGTCCTGAGCCGGCTGGCGGCCTCAGCCCGCAGATTTGGCCCGCTCCTGGTCACACCGTCGTGAGCAGCACGTCCCAACCGGAGACGCGTCAGTCCAAGGCCTGCATCTCCCAGGGATCCGGGGTCCCCCGTGGCCTCTTCCTTGGGCCTGTGCCCCAGAGATGGCCTCCGCCTGGGCCAGGCACTGTGGGACTCCCAGGCCACTGCCAGGCTCACCATCAGGGCTGAGTCCCTCCGCAGGGGCAGGAGGCCGGCCTGCAGAGGCCCGGCCTGTGACTGGGACCCAGGCGTGGCCCCCCTACCCCCACACCCTGCACTCCCTCCCTGCCCAGGGAGCAGCCACGCGGGGGGACGGCGAGGGTGGAGCACCCTGTTCCGCTCAGAGACTCACAGCCCATCAGCATAAACCACCAGGAGCCTCAGGACCAGGAATGGTGTCAACTTGACATCAGACCCGCTGTCCCGCATCAGACCAGCCTACTCTGCTATGCGTCCCGCAAACTGTGACAGACGACGCAGTGTCGGGCTGTGTCTGGGCCACCGAAACCTCTGCCCAGCCTCGGCTGAGCCTCCCAGGGCCTGAGGGCTCTCCCGTGGCTGCCTCCCTGTGGACAGCCTGCGGGCCCCCCGCGACTTCTCCCCTGAGCCCCAGCGCCCTGCGCCCCCTCTCCAGTCTCCCAGGCCCAGGCCCCATTGTTGCCACGCACCCCCACTCGGCAGGTACGCAGGCAGGCGGGGCCTTGGTTTTGATCTGGATCCATAGACCCAGCCAGACCAGAGCTCAAGCGCCAGCACCAAATAAAGACGTTTTAGCCTCATAAGGACGCGGAAGACGTGTTACTCGTGTGTCCTTTCTGGAAGTTTCTCAAAGACGAAGTCTGGAAACGCAAACGCGCTGGCAGCCAGTTCAGGCTGCTGCAACCGCTCCGCGGGCCCCAACAGGCGCTGAGGGTCCCGGAGGCTGGACGTTCTGGTCCCGGGCCCGCAGGGCTGCTGGGTGTCCTGTTCACATGAGGACACCAATCCTCTGGCATCGGGGCTCCCCTCATTTAACCTTCAGTACTTTCTTAGAGGCCCCGCCCCCAAATGCAGCCGCCCCGGGGGGCCAGGGATTTTGGAAGGGCACCAAACAT